GAGAAATTATTTTTTATTATCCATTTCTTATCCTTTCACATCACATCCATCGCTTTCCTTTACTTAAACAAATTTCATTTGCAAATGTTTTAAAACCATCCCCTTTCACAAATTTCCAGTGTAATTAATTCATAGCTCTTAGGAGGTAAGGACAATTTTGCTTTTAAATCTTTGCCGATTTTTCAAAATTACGTAGATCGAAGGAAGATTTGTGGTGAAATGACAATATGATGCTAATTGACAATGAAACACAAGGTAATCTATCGCTTAATTCCGGTGGTACTAGTTGGTACTGCAATAAGATAATTTGATTGATGTTTGCAAAATAATTCTTGAAGGTTTTTAGAAAATTGAAGGTGAAAATCACAAAGTATTGCAGAAAAAAAATTTTTTTTTCTTTTCAAAGAATGGTCGGATAATTGGGAAGTTCAGATTTTAAAACTTGTTTGAAGCATTTTGTTTTTTAGATTCTTTATCAAATTTTCTTTTTCAAATGTGCATTCAGTAACTGCTAACTAATAATTTAAATAGTGGATAACAGATTAAGCATAAGTATTATTTTAAGGTGATCAAATTGATTAAATCAGATGACATAAAACAACAGGAAGTCACAGTAAAGAAAAAGAAACACTGTATTTATTTGTTTTCAATTGAATCCTAAGTTTGTTGCAATTTTGTTTTACAGTATGAATAAGGAATAAGCCAAAATTAAAATTTATCCAGAGGTATATTGGCAAAACAATGAATCAAAAAGTAAAAATAAGTTGACAGTATAATTACAATGATAATACTGAAAACATTTATTTTCATTATGTTTTATTTTTCTAAAAACTACAAAAGCTTTTGATCTCAAAATTTATTGGAGCATAATTTATTGAATATTCAAGAAAATATTACTCGATGATATAATGATTGATTGAAAAGTGAAAGGATGAATAAGAGAATGAATAAGTGAAATGTTTTCGAAATATCTTTCTCAAAATATGGAAAAGATGCAAAAGTTATAATTCACATATTTTAGACAAAGTAAATTCAAAAAGTACGTGTAAAAGAAACAAGATCACGTTTAGTTCTGTTATCTTAATCGGATAAGTATTATATGTTGAATACAACCTTCAAGTAACAGCTCAATGATCCTAGGCCAAATATGATGATGTTATGATCTTAGGTTAAATGAGATTTTTGTAGTCTTGAGTAAACTATGACTTTGAGATATGATTTTGGATATTATTTCCGTAGAAAGTGTTTACTATTGTGCTTGGCTTCTTATAAATTATAGCTTTTAGAAATTATATATTAGCAATAACGAAATATGATTTTCAGGTTGGAAAGGGTTTTGGAGAAATTAGATATCTTAACGTTCCAAAATAACAAATCTGTATTCAATAAAATAATGCATGTAGATGTAAATTTTCAATATTTAAGGAATTTCTAAAACATCGATAAATCTTAAATGAAAAGAACGTCGCATTTTTTTTTTCCTTGTAATGATGTTTGGATGAATGTTTGAAGAATGGAAAAAAGTTAAATTACCCATCCATGAAAAAGGAAAACTTTAAAATGAACAGAGGATAAATAAACGCTATTAAATTTGTTGCTAGTGAGCTATCAGAATTAGAAGCTATTTGCTTGCTAAATTACATATGGTAGCAATTTTGAAGCATTATGTTAAATATGTGCCAAAAAGTTGCGCTGAAAAAAAATATTGGAGAATCGCCAACATTTCCTAAAAGAATTTTATTTTAAACTTCAGCAACTTTGTATTTCTTCCTAGCAATGGTAACATTAAGAAATGTAAAATTTAATTTCATATTGTTGTTCGGAAATTTCGTTGCATTGTGATTGATAATTTTTGAGAACAATACACAATCAATTTCATTTCAGAGAAGTATAATGTCATTCAGGATATCCTACATTACCTGCTAGTATGCTTTATATACATATGGCCAATAATAAAAAGAGAAAAACAGAGCGCAAAGTCAACAACGATAAATGCTTAAAAATGATAGCTGAAAAAAATCTTTTCTATAAAACAAATTTCCGTCCTTTCAATCAGAATTGTTTTCAACTATATGGAATTGAGGAAGTAAACAAGCAAAGGATTTCAGCCTCTCAAGATTAAGTGCAGAATAACAAGGGTAACATTCCAATCCGATTCGTATCGTATGCTTTTTGAAACAGAATAACAAAAATCTTAAAAGCAAATCTTATAATCACAGTCAATCGATCTACTCAGATTTTACATTTAAGAAATGTTTTTTACTAATTATTCCATATAACTAGAAGCATTAGTTAAAAATAAGTTTCCTAATCTTTTTTAGTATTTTTTCTTTCTCTTGAAATTGATCCAGTAGCAAATCAATATGTTTGCTATAGCTTTTAAAATAATCCTAAGTTTATCAATAATTTTAATCAGTCCTCATAAAATTAAACTTGCCAAAAGAATGAAGCTTGAAGAAAGTTGAAATTACTTTTGATTGACTAATAAAAATTTATTGCTAAAAATGCGGAAATGAGAAATGATCGAAAAGGTAATGTTATCAAATGAATTGTTAATTCTCAATATGCTCCCAAATTTATCACTGCTGTGATGGAATTCTAAAAAGAAGAAATGATAGTAAAAGAAAATTAATTAAAAATAAAGCTAAGCATCGAAATGTCCAATAACGGATCTGTTTGATGGCTTATAGTAGGGCTGTTCAAATGCATAAGTGGAAAGATTTAGGAGAGAAGATAGCTAAGAGATGGATGAAGTGATGGATGTGTAATTCAACGCTTTATAGTTTAGAGTGTAATCGAAAATAATTCCAAGAATGTAAATAGAACCAATCATCTCTCACCTCTTTCATTATCACTTCACATGGTTATCACTACGATTATTACACATTTTCATGCGAAAGCATATCGCTCATTCTATCTCCTTTCTTTATCTTTCATATGAATGAAAACATCACTTCACTAAATATCATTCAAGTATCGCAGTGTAATCAGAAGTAATTTCAAAGATGTAAATAAAATCACTTCTTCATTCCATCCCTTTTTCAAAATTATTACGGTGGTAATATCGAAAAATCCAGAGAAAGACCTGAGTGTGGAGAAAAAAGACATTTTTGTCAAGTTTATTAATTCTCGACTATTCTCAAGTGGGAATTTTTCATTTTGTTGTGAAAAACTTAATAGAAGTTATGCAAACCAAAATCCATATTACTTTTTAAGAACAAAAAAGAATTCGTTTTTTCGATTTTCTTTTTTGCATTAAGCAATAATCATAGGTGTTCAAATTAACGTTTATACAATAAGGTAATGAATCGAATTAATCTGTTAAATTAAAACCGTCTTCTTTCTCTTAAATATAAATTAGGGTTTGGCTCTCGGAAAATGCATTTTGCGCATTAGCATTATGCGCAGGTCACTCTTTCTTGCATTTGAAACTTTATTGTAACCAAAAACTTAAAAATTAAACAAAAAAACCGAATTCTATGAAACTAACCAAGTTATTTTAATTATTAGCTAGTTAATCGCTATGGATAATTAATCTTTGCCTAGATATAACTATAGAATGCCTATCAATTTCATACATTTCTTTAACAGTGTTCAAAAATTTCTCTTGAATGTATTAGAAGAAATCATTAGAACATGTATATATATGCAAAAGACTGCACTCTTTCAATTTCATATTAGGTTGCTCAAAAATCATTTTAAATATTAATTAATGTATGTATAACTGAACTACTCCAATCCATATGCAAATAATTATAAAATTAGACGAAGTTTTACTTAAGGTCAAAAATATTTCTAGACTTCGATTCGATTATTTCAGCTCTTAGTTCTTCAATCTCATCATTTGATACCTTTGTTATCACTTTTTTGATTAACACTATCAGGTTCATAGAGCTATTTTGGTCTACTGATGCTGTTCCCTTTTCATTGTTAAGTTCAAAGGATAGGATGATAGTTCTTAAATGAGCACTGAGATACGCCAGTTTTTCATTTGCTGTTCAAGCTTTCACAGATTTGCATGCATTATGAGTCCTGAAAGAAAGATATCAAGTAGATTCCAAAAACCCGCACCTGTATTACCTGTATTATCGTTTTTTGTTTTTAAGTAAATAATTAACATGTAATGGATGATGATGTTTTACATCTACTACAAGTGATTTCAAACAATTAAATGATTCTCCTTATCATTTATTAGCTTTTTTAAAGTTTTATGAGTCAATGAGTTTTGTGAGAGACATAACTTTTATGAGTTAATACAGATTACTGCAATCGTTCTCGAATACGGCAATCATATCTTGAATACTTATTCATCAAAATTGTTGAAACGTTCATCATTTTCTATATATAAAGCAAAATGTTGAGTTATTTAAATGAAACAACAATTCAGCACATCTATACTTCTCCTATTTGTAATGTAAGGTGGTAGTCCTTTTGTAGAACAAATTGAACTAACAATGCCAAAGAAAGTAAATGCTTTTTTCAATAAATGATTTTGTGTGCAATACGAAGTATTTGCTATTACTAATACTTTTGGTTCAAAGTTTCCATAGTATCTTGAAAACTATTCACACTTAATAACCTTTGAACTTCTGAATTATAGGGACTATTGCTTCATTTAAAATTATGACAGAATAAATCACAACGAATATCATAACTTCAAGAAAATTTCAAAAAGCCTTTTCAAAGCATCTTGGTCAATTACTGTCAACAACTTAATTTAACAGCCACATTTGACGGTTTTAACAGCAGTTTGAACAGTTGCAGTAGTAGCGTGTCCTGCTTTGAATTTAACAACATTCATAGTTTGCATTTTACGTATTCCAAATCTAAATTATGTCTCATAATGGAACAGCTCTCTAGATTGACTTCCTGCTATGATTCAAGCTTTCTGGTTAATCATTCAGTAGATTTAAAAAAATAACAAATAAATAAATAAGACCTATAAATCAAAAGGAGATTTTCTTGAATTCAAGCAAGTTGTATATTCATTTCAAATTTACTTACTTACGAAATACACCTGGCATTATATCAATGACGGCATCTCGGATATCATGTGAGCGGTAGCCAACAATAATTGTTTTGGAGAAAGAATTTAAAATTGTTATTACAATAACAATTACGAAAGTAATATTTGGTACTTTGTCCTTGCTTGTTTCGTAGAATGCGATAATCATAGGCAAAACATATAGGCCAGCAGTCGCAAAACACGACAAACCTACGGTTTTTGTAAAGTTTAATTGACGCTTGTTTATCTTAACTGATCCGGAATTCTGAAAATAGCAAATTGGAAAATTACGAATTGTAGTTCATAATGGATCACAATACAAAAAGATGATTTGTTGCTTAACACAGAAACTTCATTAAATGTTGAAAGCCCTTCAAATTTACTTCCACCGACACATTCGAAGCAAACACTTTGCCAAAATCAAAAATTTCGATTCTTGTGAAATTCATGAAAATGCAGCAATTAAGTTCACCAATTATCTACCGTTCACATTGATAATGCAATTGCTATTTGAGATGAATGTAACGGGGCGGAAAAGTAATTAATTCCTTTGAATGATTTTAACTCATATGTAGATTAGAAATAAAAACCTGTTGTTCTTTTATCCTTTTGCTATATCGTCGCACTATAAATAAAGTGACAATGTAAAGTATAACACTTCCAGTAGCTGCACTAATGCGTGTGCCATAGAATATTCGATTGAATATTGGACATCGGCTATTTGGTGTCCTATAAGAATGGTTTAAAACTTGGCCATGCAGAGTTAAGTGTAAGATTGAAATTACTTACTTTAAGTTATAAAAGAGATAAATTAAATTCAAAAAGCGGTGAAAAATTCGCAAGAAATTCTAAATGTTATCTGTAAATAATTTCATTTGTTCATTCCAGAATTTACACTAGGAAGTCTCATAGCGCTAACCAGCAGAAAGAATGCACTTTGACATTATTTAGATATGAGCAAAGTACACTTGCAGATATCAATAAAAGGATTGATAGATTGCTGCCAGCTATCTGTAATTCAATTTTTTTAAAATTATAAGTAATTTGAAAGTTTTATGACATTTGTGGTAATTAAATTACGAGTTGATGTTGCGATTTTCCGACTTTAACTGTTTAATATGATAATGTTTCAGCTTATAAAATGCTTTTAGTAATTCCATGTTGCTTGCAAAAAATCTCTGACTATTCGTCGTATCAGTAACCAATGAGTCATTTCGTCGCTTTTCCATCTTCTCTTCGGCGACTAATTCAACAATTAGCATTTCTTTACATAAAAGACACAAGCAAATCTTACCAAATAATGCTGAATATTCAACATTTTTTATAATACAAAATAGGTTTGACGATTGAAATTAACCGGTCAATACTAACTACAAGCATTGATATAGCGGTCATCGGCTCTGTCCTAAATTTTTTGGCCAATTATCATCGGAATAAAAAAGTAACAAAAGCTCTAACAAAAGCAATAAGCAGTGTCATTAAGGCTTACATCTGCAAGTCTATTGCCATAGCCGGGAATCAAATGTTTCTTGTACATAGCGCAAATGGTAATTCTGTGTTTGTGCATTAGTTTAGCGACAAAAGGAGAAAAAGAAGGATGAGACAAAGTTTAAACAAAGTAAATAAAGTTAAAAAGGCTAGAAATTGATGGATGGAAGGAAGAAAGAAGAAAATGGTATTAGAAGAGGTCATGATGGCTAAAGCAGTGATCATTGTTACAATTTCTAGTGTGGCAGTGAAAACATCATGAGGTCACTGCTGCTGGAAGTGAAGTATGAATGAGTTCATTGAAGAGTTACTTAAGAGTTACCGATGAGAGATTTGACCCGTACTGCAAGTAAATGAAGATTTGAACAGTAAAATCAACCAAATCGAGCATAGTGCAAGTTCAATTTCCCTCTTACTGTATCCATCAGTAAAGATGATTAATTATTCCTTACTGATATATTCTAACAAGCTTCATATTTCAATTGCTATATGCTTGGATCAAAGTGCTTTTTTCCACCAAGAACATAGTTATTTTTAAAAAATTTGTATGTTTTCTTGCGTAAACAAGCTTCGATAGTGTGCCTGTATTATTCATATGTTTTTTTCATAATTTTTACTCTCCTGATATTACTGTGCTCTTCAGACATAATCATGGCTTTGAAGTTATTTTATCGTTATAATTCAAATAAACTTGAAACAGAAGTTTTGGAAAATCTACTAACCAAGCCAGAATAGCATTATATGGTACAACCACGCAAAATATTCTTGAAACTGTACTATTTTGATTTTCTAATAAAATCTGAACAATGCGTACCATACCAGCTAACGCAATCGCAAATGCCATTAAACCATCCGCGAAAAACTGCAATAATAAGTTTTGTGAGAATGATAAGAAACTGTAATAGCATTTTGCTTTATTTTAGAAAGCATTCAATTATAGGGAACGTTGAGAACAAAAATCGCTGTTTCTTTTTGTGTATTAATATAAGTTGTCTCATAGATGGCGAGCCAACAATATAGATAAGTTAAGTTATAAGTGATAGGCCAAGGATATGAAGCATAGAATGAAAAGTTATTGAAAAAATATCACACCTCCATTCCTGTGAGGCCGTATCTTTCACGATTTATCTTTGTTCGAACGATTGCAGCAAAATACAACATGTTGAGCGCAAAAACTACAAGTCCTCCTGCGATGTAAACTGAAAATTGTACTATCATCCTGCAAAAAAAGCTTCTCATATAAAATTAATTGAAAAATTGTTTATCAAGTTTTAGATTTGAAATACTAGGTAAACAAATAAAAATATGTATTTTTCATACAGTCATCACAGTTAATTCGTCATTTAATTTATAATATTCTTAAAATGTGCAAAATACCAAAACACTTAATGCTTTTTATTGAAGGTTTATTGAAGGGTAGGTAATTAAGTTCTGGAAAGAGTGGTCACGCTATGTGATTCAACTTTTTAATAATTCGTTCATGATAGACTTTTTTTTATCGCTTTTATGTTTTGCTTATCGCAACTTTTTATCCGATCATTATTTTCAAATATTTTTTTTATTTTTCACGATTCTATCATGCATTTAAAAGTGTTTCACTAGAGTGAATCTGACAATCGGTTAACAATATTTGATGATAGCAAAGCATGGATAATCTTACTGTACATATTTAATTGCAGTTTCTTTTATCAAACCAAACGTATTGTAGCTCACTTTAAAAAATCCAAATACTTATAGTCTAATCGAAATGATGATTGTAACAGAATAATACATCGTTTTGAGCATGAAAGAATTCTCCGATGTGATGAAAATTGGATATAATCCCTTATTGTAAAATTAATTTTATAATGTTTTATTTTCAATATTTCAGAATTATATGATAAACATCTCACTAACTTGTTAAAAATTATTTAAAAAAGAAAATTATTTGTTCATTGAAAATATCTAAATTACCTTCGATAAATACGGGTAATGAAGTGAATACAGAGTATATTGATCTGTAATAGATAAATTTCATACGGCTTCGCGAAATATGTTGAATTAATTCTAAAAATTTTAAGTAACAATGCATTTTGCATATCTTACAAAATCCATAATGCCAAAGATAAGAATAAATGAATTTATAAAAACGTTGAAGTTAAATATATGAGTCACAGTGTTTATAAATTTGTGAAGAAGTGAGGTGGAAGGAGAATTGGTTAAGCTTCATGATCAGAGGAGTACTGTACATTTATCAGATACTGCAGGACAAGTTAAGAATACATTTACAAATTTAATAACTGAATAATTCATGTAAATTTAGAAGGAAGCGGCAGAAGACAGTTGGGAAGAGCAAATAATTGGTGCAGCACTAATAAGTAATCCAGTACAAGTACCAGATCAGAACAATATGTATGTTGCACGTTATGATCGAGAAGGATTGGTGTATTTTGGTAGCGCATGGAATGAAAGTGGCGTAGTACAAGTAAACGTCCTTTTTCATATCAATTTTTTAATCTTTTTTCTTGAATAAAAGATTTAGGTCATATTTCAAAAATTTCAAAACTATTTACGAATTATATTTGCAATCCAAATTTTCCGACTACCCAAATTCTTTATGTTCAAAAAGATATGGTGATTTTTGGCTTGCTTTATAATTTGTTTTTATATTTTGCAAATTATGTAAACGTTTTAATACCAAATAAATTGTTCTGGATTTGTCGATAAGTTATCAGCAATAGAAACTAAAGTTCTATTCTAATTCTTAATATTTATTCTGAATAATATTATAACTATGTCATTCCTCTTCTTTATCATTTACATTACACACTGCTTATCAGGAATATTTTTAGTGTGAATTCGCTTGTGAAGGAATAAAGGTGAACGGATCAGATATTAATGATAAAATTCGGGTATCTAATTAAGTGAATTCATATAAGAAAACATATCATAGATCATATATTCAATAGACAGTGTATCAAACAGTTAAAATGCTATGAGCCAATCAATATTAACAACACAAATTAATATTAATATACTTCCGATTAATATGCTTCCGAATTTTTGATTTCTATTCACACTCATCCTGTCTTTTAATTATACGATTATACTGTGCCCGCTAATGCCACTCTTAAATTTACATTAATCATTTAATTATATTATGAAGGATAGTGCAGTCTTTCTTCTTAAAAAATAACAAAAGACTTTCCATCATAAAAATTTAGATATTAACATACGATGGGAATCATAAGACCAAAGGTTTCTTCTATGAATGGATAAAATTTGCCAGGTGGCTACAACATTCTAATGATGAATTTCGCATACCGTTACGTTGCAGTACTTCTAGTGGAGTGATTTTCTGGCCACAAAAAGCTTTAGGAACGTTAAACATTGAGAAAAAGACTGCTACATTTGTATGTGCTGGGGTTTGTGCTTCAATAAATTCAAATAGCCATCACATCTTCATAGACAAAGAATTTTCGGTTTGAATTGAAATTCTTTTCTGATTTTAGCAAATTACTTCACTAGCAGAATCTGAACTTTACGATTGCCTTATTCTTGTAAGAAATCTTCGCGATAGGCCACCTCATTGCTGCTGTGAACAGTGCATGAAAATAGAAGCCCTTGAAAAGGTGGGAATTTTGCCCAATTCTTATAAAATCTGGAATTTTTACTAAAAATCAGGAGAACATTTCTCAAATTTGTGAAATTTCAAGTGAATCTTAAATTTAATCAGGTTAGTTGCTCTGCAGGAGGCGCAATCATCGGATCATTTACTAATGGTGAACGAATGGGCCGACTACCGAATCGGTGATACATTTCCTAAAACGAAGTATTTATTTTTTCACTTCTCTCTTAAATGTTGCTGCCAATTTTCATTGTCCCGAATAAATTTTAAGGAGTTTAATCAAAGCATTGGATCGGCCACTGAATACATTAAATGGCCCACAGGAACAATATGTTGCCTTATGGTATCATTTTGGCCATGCAGTAATGGGTCGAGCGTGGAATGACGCAAATGGCAAAATTGCTGCTGCATTTGTAAGGTTAGCAGCAAGCTGATAATAAATGACATTGATTTGATTTGGACATTAACTTTTACTTATCACAATATCTTATCAATGAATCGATTTCCCAGGATTTTCATTTCAAATCACTTATCTGATAAATCATTTTTCATTTCGTTCGTGTCTTTTAAATCTTTCATCTAATTTATATTCACATCGAAAAATCTCATTGTCCTTTCTTCCTTCTTATCATTTTTTCGTTTTCATTAATTTTTATTAGTTTATCATTAATTATTGTGTTATTGACTAACTATGCGAAAAAATTTCCAGTTATTTTGCTACTATACTAACTCACTAAACTATTCCAATATTCAGTTTTCGGTGTGTAACAGCATATTATCTCTCTGATAGCAATCAGTTCTTCAGAATTCTTTGTTTTTTTTTTTTTTTAAACAACTTTTTCCGCCTTTTCACTTTTCATAATTATTTCTTAAAATAATAAAATTTCAGTAGAAAAATGCCATTCCTGAGTAGCGCTATTGGTTCGTTACAACTTTTGGTGCAGATACCTCCATCTGTGGCTGGTTTCGATTACAGCTGGCAACCGTACAATGAAGCGGCAAAGATCGGTTCTAAAGAGTGGAATCCGGTACATATTGGATTCACTGCTCCTTGTGTATTAGTAATTGATCAAGAAGGACACGAATATTTAGGTACCAACAATACGTTATACAGAAAAAGAGAATAGATTCAAGAAATGTGTCAGAAGAAAAATTCTGTTGAATTAGAAAAGAAAATATTATGTCAAATACTGAATTAAAATTTAATTGAAGTAGTAAAATATAAGTGCCTAAATTTTGTACTAATTAAGAAATAAAAATGAGTGGGTTTTCAAATGTTTTTTTTTTCTTTTTAGGATCAGCAGATTTAAAAGAAGAATTCGCGACAACCGTAGTAAAAAACAATGTCTTTCGATTAGAAGGAAGTGGAATTTATAATTTTAAAGTATTGTCTATTGCAATTTTCAGTTTTTCATCTCGCAATTTTTTGATTTCTGGAAGTGCCGCAGGCTTGATGAATTTCTATCTGAATACAAAAATTATAGACTTAATGATATCAAAATTTTGATCTTTCGCATAATTTTCTCCATAATTTTCCCACCGTTATAAATATTTACTATTTAATCCTACTATGCCGAGAAAACTGGCATGAGGAAAGCTGATAATTTGATTTGAAGTTTCTTAAACAATTCTTACTTCATTGCATTTACTTAATTTATTTATAATGCTTACAATATTAGAAAAGTTTCGATGACTACTGGATGATCATTTAAAAGCATTTCTGTAGGTTTTGTGTCGCAAAGACAGGGACGATACGCAAGCAATCTGAAAGTGATCGGTCCACTTTTCTCTGTCAAATCAGATAATAAAACAGTGAAAATTTTGTGTACACAATTCAACAATTGATGAAATTTTCAATACATGTACTGCTCAGAGACAATTTTGTGATTTTCAGTATTATAAAATATTTTAAAAATGAAAAAAAAAGTGCAGAAAATAAATTACATAATACAAATATAAATTATTTTACATCATTATAAATACTAAAAAGGATAAGATTAAGAGATAATTTGGATGTGATCGTAATCTGGAATTAAGGATCAGGACATTGTTATCGATCTCTAAACTTGTCCATTTCCTTAATAGCATATTTACTTCTTCCTGTTCAAAGTTATCATAGCAGTTTTGAGGGTGGACGACGCTTCTATCACCTAAGTGCTTTAGCACGATTAAGAAGGTTGTTGCTTTGTAGTAATTTTCACAAATTGAGCGTATTGAGAAGTGTGATTTATAGAATGATAAGTTGCTTATCGCAACTGTATTTTCCTTGATAAATATCATGAAGTAAAAGGAATGTTTTATTGACATATCACTGGTTTCAGTGTTTCGGAGTGCTTCAAGGTCTTCTGTTTGCTAGATATTAGAAAATTATTTTGGAAATTATCGTCTTCGGAATATAGTAAATAAATTGTTAGAATTCTAGGAAATGAATCTTGCGAAAATGCATTAAATGCTTAAGTTAGAAAGAAATAATTGCATTTGAATAACAATTCACTAGCAGTCAAGGAAAAATATAAAAATTGTAGTCATCCAGCATAATTACATTTCTGCCTTTAGTTAGTAGTCCTATCAATAAGTATAAGTAAGATATTCCAACATACATCTTATCAAT